AAGTATGGAAAATGGTCAAGTAAGGAGAGTCAACATATGACGAGAGAGGATCGGAGCAAATATCTAGGTTGCAAGGACTTCCGTCAACCTGAGGGAATTTCTGTTGAAGATCAGCGGCTGGCAGAGGGTCAAAACACTAAAGAAACATGCAAAAAATGATGGTGGAAGAGAAGGTTCAAATGTGCAGAGATCACCTAGAGATTTAAGCAAGAAAAAAGCCCAAGTAGATGCAAATCAATGTATGACTGGCAAGTTAAGTGGTGAGCATTCAGATGCCAACGAAAAGTTGAAGGATAGCAGATTTCTGACTCTTTTGGAGGTGTTTGCAAACCTTCCACTGAAGGTTGCAGAGCTCCAAAAGCATCACGAAATATGATAAAATCTGAAGAGATGTTTCAGCGTGGTCAGATATGGGCATTATATGGTGACAAGGATCGGATGCCTGAGATTTATGCACAAATTAAGAAGATTGATTTTGCCCCGGATTTCAGATTGCATGTCGCCTCCCTTGAACCCTGTTCAATGCCCAAAGGCATAACTGGCGTGGTAGCTTGTGGTACCTTTATGGTTAAAAATGCTAAAACTCGGGTCGTTTCCATTTCTACTTTCTCTCATCAGTTAAGAGTTGAACCCAGGCAAGATAATAGATATGAAATTTATCCAAGGAAAGGTGAGATATGGGCGCTATACAAGAACCAGCATCGTGGATCAACTTGTTCAAACCAGGTTAGAGGTGATTGTCACATAGTGGAGGTGTTGGATGATGATGATGAGAGTTCAAAGGTTGTGTTTCTTGTTCGTCATCACGACTCTAGGCCAATTTACAAGACTCCTAGAATTCAGAGATCTAAAAATGTTATCATTAATATACCACGGGTGGATGCATATAGATTTTCTCACCGGATTCCTGCTTTTAAGCACACTGGGGATGGCGATACTCATCTCAAAGGATGTTGGGAGCTGGATCCTTCATCAGTTCCTGGTTTTGTAATAAACTTAGGGTGAAGCATAGCCTGTCTTCATAAGTTGTGTTTCTTTCTGTTTTTTTAAGGATTTGGAACTCAGCATCTATGTCATTGCAATGTGTAAAATTTCTTTTCTCACGAATCATGATCGCTAACATAACATCCTCAAGTGTAGTAAGCCCTGCCTATGTCTTGTTTTAAATTTTGTAATATGGCAACTACCAGTTGTCGAGGTTCAGTAATTCTGATAAACCAGCTGCTGAGCTTACGAACCTTTTCCATGCAAATGTATTAGGGAATGGACTACAAGCTTGCATTTATGATGCTGCGAACTAAGAATATTATGGACAGAATCCTGAAATGGGAATGATATTCTGTATGTTATATCCCAATATGTATGTTGCATTGTTTCAGGATTAGGTAAGTTGTTAGAAAGGATGCAAGAACACTGTCTGATTTGTTTTTGAATTGTTGGAAAGAACAAAATTTTGGTGGAAAAGGAAGAGGATGATGAGGATGACGTCAATAGAAGTGGCACAGGCAATCAATCTTCCACCTCGTCCAAACAGACACATCTCCCGAGGCAGGCACAGGGATTAATGACACTAACATCATCTTCTGTTATCCTCTATTATTAGTTAATAATGCGTTCATTCCTTTTCGTCCCATTTGAGCCTCTTACGCACATAAGGCCACGCACTCTCTTCAATGTGACCCATATCTTGCACATTCCACGTACCTATCCACATTTTCATTCCATTATTGGCAACCAGCAATTTCTTGGTAGAAATTATATCTTTCTTGCAAAAAAAGAAAATTCTAATTTAATACTTTGAATGTAAGTATTACTCTTCCAGTCCTTAATACAAAATTTAATTGTTGAGTTGGTTTTGATTCTAAATATAAGACTCATTTCTCATATTTATCAGTTTTCTCTAAATTACTCTTATGGATACTCCCTCAACCATAATCAAGTGGAAGAGGGAGAGAGGGTATTAAGAAAGATGATTATGGTGTTTTAGGAAAAATGTGTCACTTTTCTTATAATTAACTAACTTACTTAACTTTCTTAATCTAATCAAATTAGTTAAATGAGTTTTATATTAAGGACCAGAGGAGTATAATGTTTTCATTTCAAAACTTGATGCCAGTTTTAACACAACACCTAAATCTAAATCGAATAAGCGGCAAATGATGCCAAAGTACATGCCTACATGGTTTGATAGAGTCCTCAATGCTGGCAACAAAAATAAAAAGATACTGAATGTCTATAAACATTGGATATGAACTGAAACACTACAAGTATTTCAGTAATATAGGATACGAATTGAATTGTTGAGACAACGGTGTAATGGTGTTTTAACAGCGCCAATTCGACAGTCAAACAGAAATTTAAGGTGAATTATCAGTCTTCTTGAAAAAAAGTCAGTTAGAATATCATTTTGATTTCGTATAATTTTTCTTATAAAGTAAGAATTCCTTATAAAATTATATACAAAAAATTGTATTTTTCAGGATGGCGGTTCAAACTTATTGCTATATAGCAGCACCTGTGATGCCTTGTGGCAAGGCAGTGGTGGATACTAATCCCTATGATTATGATGTCAAATTAAAAAAAATACTTTTCCAATATGAGACCTGTTTTGTAATGTAAACGAGTCTTATATTTAGAACGAAGGACCAATAATGTAGAAAAAAATTCAGAGAACGCGAGAGGAAAATATGACGTGCCCATATCCTACTTGCGTTGGTTTTGTGCTGCATATAACTCACCCACAGCCTCGCTCAACGTAAGCATTGATAACCACGCCACACAAAAGAATAGCTTTGTGAGAAGCAAACTAAAGACATGGACATCGGAACCTATGGGTATCCCACAGCAACAGAGGAGAAGACAGTGTCGTACTACGACGTGCCAGAAGGAGTGGACGTGAGAGGAAGATACGACCAGGACTTCGCAAAAATCCTAACCAAGGATGCTCTGGTTTTCGTGGCTGAGCTACAACGTGAGTTCAGGAACCATATAAAGTACGCATTAGAGTGCAGAAAAGAAGCAAAGAGGAGGTACAATGAAGGAGCCCTGCCTGGGTTTGATCCAACAACCAAGTACATACGAGACGGAGAGTGGGTTTGTGCAGCTCCTCCACCTGCTGTTGCTGATAGGAAGGTCGAGATCACAGGTCCTGTGGAACGAAAGATGATCATCAATGCTCTCAACTCTGGAGCCAAAGTCTTCATGGTTAGTCCTTCGTCTGAGTTTCATTTTTCCCACTTTATATGAAAGAAGTTTTGGTAAGTTCATGTTAAGGTTAAAAGGCACTTACAGGATCGGCAGATCACATCCTAGCCAAATGGATTGACGTTCGTTGGCTTTGTCTCGGTTTTTCACTTCATGTTAGGAAAGCTTAAATTTTTAGGTGCAGTTATTTTTTGGTAGGTCATCGATAAACGGTTGATGGGATTAAACTCTACCATTCGGTTTCCTGAGATACTTCCAGGAGAAGTTATAGAGATAAAAAGGGAAGAGTGGATCCTTCATGCTGTTAATTTCACATATGTGGCGTCCAACTCAGTCTTTCTCCTACTTTCAATGCTGACATATTTGAAGGGATTCTTTTCCTTGAACGTCGAACATTAAAAATCATTTTAACTTAGCGTGTTGTATGAAAGTCTGGACAAAACTTTCTTATTTGCAGAGTAGGACGTTAAAGGAGCTGATTTTGTTGGTTTTGTTTTTGAAGGCTGATTTTGAAGATGCCCTGTCACCGAGCTGGGAGAATTTGATGAGAGGTCAAGTGAACTTGAAGGATGCAGTGGAGAGGAGAATAAGCTTCCATGACAGAGCCAGAAACAGGTCTTACAAGCTCAATCAGCAGACGGCGAAGCTCTTTGTACGCCCAAGAGGTTGGCATTTACCTGAGGCTCATATTCTGATCGATGGCGAACCTGCAACTGGTTGCCTAGTGGATTTTGGGCTCTACTTCTACCACAACCATGCCACGTTCCGGCGAACACAAGGCGCCGGCTTTGGGCCCTTCTTCTATCTTCCTAAAATGGAACATTCAAGGTAAGCATTCATCATAACAGTTTCATGGCAAAGCACTAATCATCACACCAGAATCTCATATTCTGGAAGTGAAGTAACACTCAACATGTCGCTGTTCAGTAGTATCCAGTCACTTGGCTGAGTGATATCATTAGACCTATGATTGTGTTAGAAAAACACACACATCTCCTGTGCGTCGGTAAACTCTGAAGGCGTTTTTGCAGTGGTGTTACTGTTTAAAAGTCCTTTGAAAAATCACTTGGACATCTTACACTAAACTATTTTTGTATCGCAATACTAAACATGAACAAATTGCATATATTTTGCATATGATTGTATTGAATCATGAATAAAATACATATCATAATGGGTGCCGATCATTAAGGTATCTAAAATGGTGTTTGGAAAGCTGGAAAATGGTAAATTTAGAGAAGGTGGTTGTGATTTGACAGGGAAGCCAAGATATGGAACAGTGTGTTTGAGAGGGCAGAGGAGAAAGCGGGGATTGAAAGAGGAAGCATAAGGGCCACAGTACTGATAGAAACACTTCCAGCAGTGTTTCAAATGAATGAGATTCTGTATGAGCTGAGGGACCACTCTGTGGGTCTCAATTGTGGAAGATGGGATTACATATTTAGTTATGTGAAGACATTTCAGGCTCACCCAGATCGCCTCCTTCCCGATAGGGTTCAGGTTGGCATGGCCCAACACTTCATGAAGAGCTACTCTGATCTTCTCATCATGACCTGCCATAAACGTGGTGTGCATGCCATGGGAGGCATGGTAATCATTTCTTTTCTTTTCTTTGTTTCGCATTTTTAAGTCAAAAGTAGGTCTAAGAACGTGTTTGAACAAGTATTTCCCACCACTTTTGCTTTGTGCACACTTCAAACAGATATTAAAAAGCAACCTAAAACTATTCGTTAGTATTGATTCAGTAGCTTAAGCTTTAGGAACAGGTTAATTCTTGACGAGAATCTTTGGTGGTGTCAAGAAGCAGCATTTGAAAATGATTAAAAGGCGTGACTGAAGTTGGGGAAAGGAGGAGGATGCATGGAAGATTAAAACTCAAATTTGAAACTTCACGTGTATCATTGATAATTGAGGAGCGGCAACAAGTTTAGATGACACTTTAAACTTTTGTTGAACAGGCAGCGCAAATTCCAATTAGAGATGACCCGGTGGCGAGTGAGGCAGCACTAGAACTGGTGAGGAAGGACAAGCTAAGAGAAGTGAAGGCAGGGCATGATGGGACCTGGGCAGCACACCCTGGTCTCATCCAAGCATGCATGGAAGTCTTCAACAACCACATGGGAAACGATCCTAATCAGATTCACACAAAGAAACGTCATGATGCTGCAAACATAACAGCGGAAGATCTCTTGCAAAGACCTGTAGGAGTTCGTACAATGGTAGGCCTTCGTCTGAACACAAGGGTGGGAATTCAGTATGTGGCTGCATGGCTCACTGGGAGTGGTTCAGTTCCTCTTTACAACCTCATGGAAGATGCAGCCACTGCTGAGATTAGCAGGGTTCAGAATTGGCAATGGCTTAAGTACGAAGTGGAATTGAATGGAGATGGACTTGGGGTTAGAGTGAACAAAGAGCTTTTTGGGAGAGTGGTTGAAGAAGAGATGGCTAGGATTGAGAAGGAGGTGGGCGAGGACAAGTTCAACAAGGGACTGTACAAGGAAGCTTGCAAGATCTTTACTAAACAATGCACAGCCTCAACACTGGATGATTTTCTGACTTTGGGTGCTTATAACCATATAGTTGTGCATCATCCAAGGGGATCGCCGTCAAGGCTCTGAGTTCAGTCGTTTTACAATCACCTTGCGTGTTTTTTCGGTTTGGGTTTGTCATGTGGGACTGCTTGCTGCTATATCCTTTTATCTCTTCATGGTTCTTCTTGCAGAATAATGTTGTACTACTATTATTTATATTACTTTGGATGATAGACGAATATGTTATTTGATGAGTAATAGGAAATCATAACGTGAGAATTACAATCAGGTTCATAAAAACGATTTAATTATCTTAAAGTTTATTGATAAGTGAAAAGTAAACAATAACAAATTTTAGAGTAGAAAATGACAATAAGTTCATGTTGGTCACTTGTTATAGGACTTTTTGATAATTAAATTTTTTTTCTTGAAATTTCTTGGTAATTTTTCCAATCATAAGCCCTTGCATTAGGCCTTGTTTGCTAAAAATACAATGCAGCTTCAAACGATGGGTAGAATACGTTCCCATTATTGGCATCAAGGTGGACTGTTCAAGACTTTAATCAGATTTGATTGAAAAAAATATCCATAACTCTCAAGTACATACATAAAAGGCTTTTGACCAAAAAAATAAAGAAGTATTCTTTCGATCCTAAATATAAAACTATTTTTATAATGTAATTTACATTACAAAAAGAGTCTTATATTACATTATAAAAAGAGTTTTATATTTAGAATCGGAGGAGTACATACATTAAAGGCCGGCAGGTTTTAAGGAATTTGATATTTTTATAATTTAAACTTATAAATGACGCAACTTGATTTACAAACATAAAATATTAACTTCATTAAGTTTAATTTATAAATAACACGAATTGTAAATAATGGAGACTGATGAAGGAAGTTAGCGTTGTCGTTTTCTTTTTTATTGTGAGCCTTGATGTACAGTTTTTATTCCCAAAAAAAAAAAGTGCAAGTTTGGTATGTAGATGCAAATTTTTCGAAGCTTATCTATACTTAACTCTCTTACTTGACACATATGGGTAATTTTTTTCTATTTATGATTCGAATTTATTATTCCACTTTCTCTTCTGTTTCGTTGTATCATCTGCGAAAAAAATAAAAATATAGAAAGAACTGAAGACTCTTGCATTTATGAAGTCCGATTTCAACCAAAGGAGGAGTTATTATTATCCACGTAACCATATCAGGATTTTATCATCATAATTAGTTTGGCCACACTATCATACAAGCAACAGTTCCCCCCCCCCCCCCGGGGGGAGACTGAATCATGAGCAACAGTTTGGCATGCAATCCATTAGGAAACCTGTGCATCTGCAGCGATCTTGGCGTCGAGATGAGAGAATTCTTGGAAGAAAGCCTTGAAATGCTCATATGAATGCTTCACATCATCAACAGCACACATTTCTCGTATGCTATGCATTGACAACTGAGGAGCACCCACATCCACTGTACGAATACCCACACCACTGGCAAGGATTGGACCGATGGTTGAACCACATGGCATGTCATTGCGCACCACAAAGTCCTACATCAACAATTTCTCATAAAAAATTTATCACAAAGGCAATACTTCTGTTTGTCCAATTAAATAATGAAATTACGAATGAAGAATTACTTTCTCATTGTCTTCCAAAAAGTGAAATTTGCAAAAACGAATTGACCACCGAACTGACCTGAACTGGAATGTTGTGTTTCACTGCTACCTCCCTGAATATGAAGGCAGTGACTGCATTGGTTGCATAGCGTTGATTTGCATTATGTTTGATGACAAGTCCTCCATGAAATTTAGGCTGATGGTTGTCTTCGTGTTTTTCCTACAGGCAAGTCTGTCTGAGTGTGGAGCAATAATTTGTATATCTTGTATGCATACATCACTATAGAGAGCAACATACCATATAATTGGGATGCAGCGCATGTGCCATATCAGCAGATACAAGGAAGCTTCTTTGTATCGCTTTATCCGTCAGCTAGAACGCAATTACCATATAGACAAACGAATTAACATACTGAAATATAGGATCCCGCTATATGCATAAATTGGAAACACAATGCAGCTAAACCAGCAATGCAGTTTCTCAACCGCAGCAAATAGTAAGCAGTAGTAAACATTTATGTAACCCTTGAGCATATAGAATAATAAGAGTGTGAGAAATTTCTACCTTGGGATCCGAACTGAAGGAACTTGTCACCCTAGATACGGCACTCAACATAACAGGGGAACCAGCTCCTTGTGCAGAATCAGATCCACATTCCTCATGGTCAAACAAAGCTACCATTCTAACACCAGTCTCTTCGTCTAGACTGTGGTCAGAAGATGTAGAATCTATCAATGCCTGAAATTAGCATTACGATGTTAGATAGGATAATTATCGACTGCAACACAGTTTATTTCGGGTTTTATTCTCACCCAGCACTATCAACATTCTAAGTATACACTATACAGTCATAAAAAGATAATCCCAAGCCCAACAATGCAAGAGAGGAGGAGGAAGAAATAATTTTGGGACGAGTTTTCCTTAGGAGAGACTTTAGCCTCTCAAAAGCTAGAGATTACCAGCCTCTATTCTTAGTTTACATTCTGAGTAGGTGTTCTGCTTCTGCTCTAATATAGCGTCTGCAATAGGGAGGCTGTCTATTTCTGGTTTTAGTCTTGTTATCAGCTTGTTTAATAGAGGGTTCTATAATATTATGTTATGTCTACTCTATACTGCTGATGTTAGTATCCCTCAACAACACACTCACACATGTTAATTTAAAACAAGATCGCACAACCAAATCAAATGAAGCGAGGTGTTTAAGAATGGAACCCTCTAAAATCAAGATTATGGCTGAAAGTTCATATCCATGCATGTCCAATTGAAATTTGACTAGGAGAAACAGCTTAAATTTTAAACCTTCAATGTGCAAAATGACATGCAGAGGTTATCAAGCCGTCCTGAAAATACAAACTCCTTGGCAGCTCCAGCAATTATACTTGGTTGAGTATCACAGGCTTGCAATTCAAAATCACATATATCATCTGGTTCACACCCAAGCTTGCTTGCGAGCAACTGGAGGGGGGGAAAAAAAGAATACAAGACGGTCACCAACAGTTAGACCCACGATCATTCAATGTGCAAGTCCAATTCTAACTTCAGATGCCAGAACCGCATGCGATAAATCAAAGCATTTCATGAGAATCCAGATAGAGTCATTGAACATTCAAGCTTCAATGCCCCTCTGTTCCCCGCATAAAAATGGCAACTAAAAGTGAGAAGGTACAGTTAATTTTCAAGCCAACAACCTGAAGCAGAAGAGAGTGGTGCTTTGCATTTTTACTCCCCGTTTTGTCATTTGCCTCCTTTCCATCATTTTGCGGACCGTTTTCAGTTGAATCATTATCACCAACTGCTTTATTGAGCTCTGCCTGCATGATAAACCTCAATGTATAAAAAAACCTAAATTCAATAGCCCCCCCCCCCCCCCCCAAAAAAGCAAAAAAGAAATCCATCTGAAAAAAGCAATTTTTCTGGAAATATCAGATATACATATAAGTCAACTTTAATTTCTGGTTACCTTTACCAACGTTGCCAAGATAGGAAGAAGATGGTTCTGTGTATTTGCCTTAAATCCATCGTTAACAGTCCTGTACGAAGGCTACAGTTTAGTATTTTTAAGGGGACAGAAGTCAATTAAACAAACAGGGAAGATCCATCTCAACAAGTTGACCTGTCTAAGTGAATTGCCAAAGTTGGGATCCGCATTATTGGTTCCTCAATCCTAACAAGTCGATGCAAATATGAAGTAGAACCTTCTTTTTCTTGTCTTATAATAACCCTCCCAGCGACTGTTAAGTCCCGATCAAACCACGTATGCCACAAGCCACCCCCGTATGTTTGGACTCCAACCTCCAAATATCCACCTTTAACCACCTGCCCAAATAATTCATGCCAATGCCAACTGAAAATTCCCGAATAACATTAGTTACCGGGCTCACATATTTACTACAAGTAATCCAAATTACCTTGGTAACAGGCTTCAGTTTCAGACAAGGACTATCAGTATGAGCACCAAGAATGTGGAACCCATTTCCAGCAACATATCTGAAGAAAAAATTTGAGCATAGACGATGAATAGATAGGACTAGGCACTACAAACACTAATGCCATCATTAAACATTATCTTATAAAGATGTGATTACTAACTGTTTCGAGTATATAAAGGATAGTCATAAAAAATCATAATATTATATCTATGGAATTATGGACTCTTACATTCTGTTTAGATGAAATAGTATAAACTCAAAAAGGAATGAGTGTGAAACATCCTGAGCTATATGATAAGATACTAATGTTTAAGAGGAGTTTTAAATTCAACATACTATATTCTATAACATTTCTCTATTTCATCTGTAACTGGTCAACATTTCAACAAGAAAAAAATAAAGAAACGAGCGCAACGGCTGACCAAAAGCCTCAAAACACAAAGTTGCCAGAATCATACTTTTTACCAACGGCAAAAGCGACAATAGTTGAGTGATTCCTCGTGAAGAAATATTTTTTGCCTGCTGCCAATTTCCAGTCATCTCTCTCTGAAAGTTGCTCATAGCCAGCGCTTTGCAACCGTTTTTTTGCCTCGTCTGAAACATAAAGCCATCTCAATGAATCAAATTCTGGAAGATTAAAATAAATGAAACGAACTCAGAGAAAGATACGAGAGAAAAGAGAGTGTTACCAACGGCGTGGAAAGCAGTTGGAGAAGCATTGAGGAAACCGATCAGATCAGAAACGACGGAGTAGCCTTCATCCTTAGCCATGACAACCGACAACAAACTTCAATAGCTATGAGAACGTCTCAAGAACTGATTACTCGAGAGTGAAACTGGAGACGGGAATGAGCTTTTTATTGTTGGGCAAAAGCATGGGAATGAGATTCTGACTTCGATTTTATACTCAGGAATGGAAACTAGTCCCGAATTTCCCTATCCTAAGATACGGCCCCCCAAAGCCCAGGCCCCATGGGACTGAATTGATTCATTTCGCATTTATGTGCTCCTTTTTTGTTTATCATTCTTTTTTGCTCTTCAAGATGGGAATGAGATACTGACTTCAATTTTACTCAGGAATGGAATCCAGTCCCGAATTTCCCTCTGCTAAGATACGGCCCACCAAAGCCCAGGCCCCATGGGGTTGGGTTGATTCCTTTCGCATTTGTGTGCTCTTTTTCCTTTATACTCGTAATTCTTTTTCGCTCTTCAATTACAATATCATATATGGCATCACTCTTCATTTAATTTTAAAAGTTAGTAATTCTCTAATCTGGGGTTTCTCAATTTCAAGCATATTCGAGTATTTACATACTTTATCATACACGGACAACTAATTTAATATCTGAAAGTATTTCCTACTATTAATATACTCCTCCGGTCCTAATTATAAGACCCAATTGACTTATTTGAGGAGATTAAGGAAGTAAGTTAAGTTGATTATTTATAATAAATAAGTGTTGTTATTCCTAAAATATCCTTGCTAATTAAGTATATTGGCTAAAACTATCATTATTAGAAGGATTATCTTTGAAAAAAATGCATAAATATAAGAGATAAAATGGATTGAGTCTTATAATTAGGACCAAATAAAAAGTCAAATTGGGTCTTGTAATAAGGATCGGAGGAGTAAAATAATACTATTCAGTTAATGTGATCAATAATTAGAAGTGCCAAAACACAACAGTCTTTATTATTTGCCACTTGTATAGAGGAATTTTGATCCTTTTTATTTGTCATTTGTATCATTTTTAATATTTTATTTCCAATTGTGTCCTTGTTAATTATAATAAAGATGAAAAGAGAGGGAATGTGTAAGAAAAAATATGCTAGTATTTAATGCTTGTCCTAATAAAGACTAAAGTGAATGATTTCATCTATTTGATACTACCTTCAGTCCTTAATATAAGACTTTGTTTGAATTTTATTTTGGTTTTAAATATAAGACCTAATCTGTTTTGTCTCTTATATTTATATATTTTTTTCTAAGATAGTCCTTCTAATAATGGTAGTTCTAGCCAATATATTTGATTAGCAAGGATATTTTAGGAAAAACAACATCTATTTATTACAAATAACTAATTTAACTTACTTTCTTAATCTCCTCAAATTAGTCAAATGAGTCTTATAATTAGGACCGGAAGTGGTACTTTTCTTAGTATGCAAGAAAACTTTTACAAGTGATAAACACTCCGGTTTTTCCTAAAGGTGTACCACTGGCCTTCACTTTAGACTCATTATGCACAAACTTATTCTCCCTAATGAGAACAAGTCATATTAAGGGGGTGTTTGGATAGAATCAAAACTATAATTTTAAAAATAATTTTACAGCATATGAAATAAATATATGGAAAAATTTATCTCAATATACAAAAAAATACTTTTAAAAAACACTTTTCATGATACCCAAACACTCCCTAAGCTTGAGGATGTAATCAATGTCAGATAACACACTGAAGAGTTCGAGCGAATAATCCTCACATATTTACAAGATATTTGTTATAAACTATGCTGTCTATAGTTTATAAATAATATTACTGGTCATACATTTTATAATTTATATTGATGCTAGTGCTTGTAACTATCTCACGAGAATAACATTGGCGTTTTGCATAAAATAATCATTAAAAAGGAATCAACTGTTTAGTGGGAAAATTAAAGGGTGTTTGGATAAAACCAAACCATGATTTGGAGAATAACTTCTGGAAAATATATTCTTTAGAGAATAGATTTTGTGAAGAATAAATTTTGTAAAAGAGTGATTTTAATAAAGTGAGAGTGTTTAGATAGTTGTTATTAGAAACACTTTTTACATGTGCAAATTATTAAAAAGGGTATAAGTTAATATGATAATTACATAAAAGAAAGATCTTATAATATATTTGAATTTGAAGAAATAAATTTGCTGATAATATATTTTTACCGATATAATTAATAATATATAAGAAAATATAATTAATAAATAATTAATATATGTATATATATATTTTGAGGTTACGGGAAAGAAAAAGGATGAGAAGGACAGCGGAAACCTGAAAGATTGTTACATATAAGCACCAGCATCTGGGGCATATTTTGTAAGATAGTTGATATTTATTAATGGTGGAGATGCGAGGGGACCAAGGGGAGTACTACCTTTATTTTGTGAAAATGATTCGGATATGTTTTGAGAAATTTCCTGTGAAAAAATTTGAGAAATGAATCATGATCTTCAACTATTTTGAAGGCTTGTTGAGATTTTTTTTAATAAATATGGCGTGTATGGGGGAAAAAAAAAGAAACAAGGGGAGTATAAAGTTCCTACAAAATATGGCTTGGGGTGAAAAAAAAAAAAGTTCCTCCCCGTTGATGTATTTAAAAACAGAATTGCACCTCTTATACATTTATTATTTTTAATTAATTTTAACACCTGGGGGAGTGTCACCCACCTCCTGTTTTGGTTATCAATGGGGAATACCCGTTGATGGTTTTCATTGATCAATTTAAAAATGTTAATTAATAACCTTGAATTTTTAAAAATAAACTGAAATTGTCAAATTTTTTTTTTGCAATGTCCGAAAGCAGTGTGTATCGAGGAATCTAAAATGTTAAGAAAGTTAGAACACGAGTGGCTGAGGCTCTGACACTCTCTCTTTATTTTTTTTTTAGGTCAAAACTATCCAAAACCATGATTTTGGCTTTTTTCTTGGTATTTGGCAATTTCTTTCCTCAAACCCAAACTATAATCTGAGATGATACCCAAACAGACTCTTAGACTATTTGGCAATTTTCATGACCTACCTCTACCTTGAAGTTTGAACAATCACGTGTATGAAAATGAAGGGAAAATAAAAACAAAAAAAAAGTCTGAATACAAACTAAACCATGATTTTAAAAGTAATTTTACGATATATGAAATAAATATATGAAGAAATTTATCTCAATTTCTCAAAAAATGTTTTTCAAAAGCATTCATACCCCTCCTTGGGAGTTTCAATGATGTAATCTATTCATATATTGCATTGATTTAATTATTTAAACATAGCATGAAGGCTCTCGGCTCTCGGCTCTCGGCTGGAGCAATGTCGTCGTGAGTACGAGTCAAAATACAAGACATGCATCCAAGAAATATGAGGGTGAAAACCTTTTGACCATCATGTACCATAATATATAGCTGTACAACTTTTTCTCGGTTTTGAATAACATTCTGCAATTTCTAGCAAAATATAACAAGGGAGTTCACATAAAGAAAATGAGCCATGTCAATTACAATTTGGAAGAACCACTTGATAGCACAGAATTGACTAATTCTCTTCTCAAAATTTTGCCAGCCGGATTCTTGGGGATGGCATTAATGAAAGCTACACGTCGTACCTTCTTGTACGGCGCAACCTGCAAGAACAAGGCATGTTCAATTTTCAGCGCACAGACAAAGCAACAAAATGGAACCCAATAATTATACATTCAAGTGTCTGAAATTTTAGAATGGAAACGTTTGAGATGCATATGCATATATACATACCTGCTTTGCCACAAAGTCCATAACCTGATCTGCGTTGATATTGCTTCCAGGCTTTCTTACCACAAAGGCCATTGGAATCTGCCCTGCCTCTTCATCAGGGTACCTAGCCCACAAAATTTTAGAATAGAAACGTTGAGATTCATATGCATATATACTGTGTTTCTTTTGTGTTCTTGATAGAATACTCCTCAATTCTTGTTGTGCCTTCCAATGGCTAAGAATCTAGAAATAATATTTGGATTTTAGCTTATCATTAACCATGTGTTTTCGAGTTTCGATTCTAATCTATTCAGTACTTTCTAGGTTCCTAGAGGATACATACCAAAAGAATCCGTATATCTTCACGATTTCCCATAATTTCAAGCAAAGCAGTATCTAATTTAAGAGAAGATTAGAGCACAAGATACATACGGAATTACGGCAGCATCAGCAATTTCAGGGTGTGTGTGAAGTACATGTTCCAGTTCAGCTGGAGGAACCTGCATTTGGTTTCAGGCATTCTGAGCATAACGCACAGCTAAAACAATAGTCACAAAAAGTGTGGAGAGTGATAGAATCACATTCACCTGATATGCTTTGTATTTGATCAATTCCTTAAGCCTGTCTACAATGTAGAGGAAGCCATCAGAATCAAAATAACAAAGATCTCCAGTCTTGAGCCACCCCTCCGCATCCAATGTCTCAGCCGTTGCTTCCTCATTTTTTACATAACCTGCACTTCCCACAATAAGCATCACTGGTAGTTCCGGATTTAACAACCTAATTCCTCTATTCTCTGAACACAGTGGGTCACCTTTCATTATTGTTGGACCTTTCAACCATAGCTCGCCTTTCTGACCAGGAGGCAATGACTCTCCGGTCACGGGATCCACAATCTTGGCTTCCATATTCTCTGCAAGTCGACCTACAGAGCCATGTCGCTTAGCCTCTTCAGATCCTATCATTCTCGTTGCCCCACCTCCACTTTCAGTCAGACCATACCCCTAGTCTCAACACTATCACCAAATCAACCCAAAAAAAAAAGGGGAAATAAAATGCATAAACAAATCGTCCCTACGGCTCTAATTGAGAGACCAAAGACGAAGAACGCACTACGTTATAAAACTAAACTAATGGCAATAATTGTTTTCCTGCCCGTAAGTAATGGGTGTCATTAGTCAAACACCTGCTAATGTCGCAATTTATAAATAATAAAGCGCCATAAGTGGTGTCCTCTCTAGTTCGAGGCCACTCTTGGTGGGGATTAATAATAATTAATTGAAAATGAATAAAAGTCGATATTAAAACATCAAAATTGAAGGAAAAGAGCGACTAACCTGCACTATTTCCACGTCAGGGAATCTGGCGCTGAAGTTCTCGGCCACCTCCTTGCCAAGCGGCGCCCCGCCGCATCCTAGCAACTTCAGCGAGCTAAGGTCGTACTTGTTCACTAACTCGGACTTAGCCAGCGCCACAATGAGCGGCGGGGAAACTGGCATGTACGAAATCTTGTACCTTTCTACCGCTCTTAACATCCCTTCGAAATCGAACCTATGCATCAAAACCAGAGTCTCCCCATGGATATCGCCCTAATCAGCATGAAGAACCCGAACACGTGGAAAAGTGGCAGCGTGAATAGCGACACCGGATCGGATTCATTCTCTTGCGAATCCATCAGGTGCCTCAGGTGGTAAAATCCCCCAATGAGGGCAATCAAATTCCTGTGAGTCAATAACACGCCTTTCACTCTTCCGGTTGTTCCAGACGAGAAGAGAATCGCCGCCGGCTCCGATTGGCTCATCTGAACTCTTCGGACGCCCCTGTCATCAGCATTACCAATTCCGGAAGTTCCATTGATCATGGAAAGGAACTGAGGCGAGTCAATTATGACGGTACCGTATCGAAGCTTGGGGATCTTATGAGCAGTGGAGGAGGTAGCGAATGCGATGACAGGTTGAGCGAGCTCAACCTGGTGAGCGACCTCCGAATCAGAGCCGATAGGGTTGGCGGGTGAGATGGTGACTCCTAAAGACAGGAGGGAGTAGTAAAGAACTGGGATGTGTAGAGAAGCAGGGGAGAGAATGAACGCGACGTGGCCTTTGGAAAGAGGGGTAAGGGAAGCGAGGGAGGAAGCGAGGTTTTTGATTTGTTGAAGAAAGAGGGAGTAGGAGATACGGCGGTCGGTGGTGGAGTCGATGAGGACTGTGGTGGAAGAAGCGGTGGGAGGAATGAGAGAGAGAGCGTAGTCGGTGATGTGGAGAGGTTGAGAGGGAGGAGGGAGAGGGACGTCAGGACGAAGACTATGGAATGTTCTGGTTTGAGGGCAAAAGCCAGAGCTTGGATCGACGGGGTTCGCCATGGAGGGAAGTTCAGAGAGACAGAAGCGTGGTCGTGTTAGGCAGATGGTGTTTTGTGGATCGACAATAGACGGAAACAAGGCCAGTGTTGCCTGTTGTGTACTCGTGTTCCCTTCCCTCCTTTGACTCTTAATCAAAGAAAGAAAATTTATACACTCAAAGGAAGCTGCTTACTTTTGTGTGGTTCTGGCTTGCTGACTGGTTCTGATTAAAAAGACATGGGCAGCTTTCCACCAAAAGGAGGTAAAAAAATAAAAAAAATAGATGCACAGACGATATGCACAGGTGTACAAATACAATTTGATAGTTGGTGATGCGTTTGTATTGTGTTTCATCTCATGTGTTCCGTTTTCCCTTCGCATTTGAAATGCTGGTCTGTTAAGAGTCTTTTCATTTGAAGGCTATGGTCACCGTCACCATGGGAAGTATCTTTCTTTTATCTTTATTATATGAATTGGATATCCAAGTTTATTAACTGGAAAATTTATTTTTGAAGTGGGTTATGTGATATAGTAATTCTCGTGTTGTTTAAAGAAAAAGACAAAAAAAAAACTGAGGAATGTGATATTTCAAATCAGACTTCTAACACTTCAAAATTCCATAAGAAAAAGTAATGTATGATACTATGTTTTGTAAATGTAATTAAATAACTAAAATATTTTTATATTAAAAGGTTTATTAATAAGTTATAAATTGATAATAATAAATGTTGAACAGCAAGTAATAAAAAATATAATAATAATAACAAGTTATTTGTTAACAAGTTGTATAGAAACTATGATAAGTATTAAACAACTAATAATGATAAATTAGATAGCTTTTTTTTCAAATTTGATACAAGAACATCTTAATTATTTGATTATATTTGAAAAATATCAGATTAAGCACAATTTCTATCTAAATTGAGAAATGACAGCTTTAAAGTTTTTTTTCCTGGAATTTTCCTTCTTCTTTAAGTTCATGTCCGTGGGTCAATGTCTTGGCTTCGGGAGCGAGTAAGGGTGTGTTTGGATTAGCGGTGGAGAAGTAACTTTTTTTTCAATCTGACTTTTACAAAAATCAGATTGAGTAAAAGTCAGATAGAGTGATATGATTTATGTTTGGATTGGGTTTTTAAAAAAATCAGTTTGAGAGGTTAAAACTTGTTTGGATGATAAAAGTAAAAGTAAATTTGCATGTAAAATGATTTAAAAAGACATGAATTTTATAAAATAATATATATCTCATATTAATTTGACTATTTTTTAAGAAGTAAGGAAGAGAAAATTATTAAAAATAAAGAAATTTAATTTATTATTAGAAAGAAATTATATATATAATGTGACCATTTTAAATGAAGTATTAAAAATTAAATAATTAAAAAAAAATTAAGTCATATTAGAAAGAAATTGAAAAATAATAAAATACTTAATTAAATATATATAATGGATAAATATATAAATTAGAAATCATACAAACATAGTATTTTTACACACGATACATCAAATAATTAATTAGATGCCATACATCAAATAACTAAAAAGCAACACGGACTTGCAGTTGTGAGCGAGGCTTCAGATCGTGTGTTGTGTGTGTTGTGTAAAGCCGAACTCTCTTTAATATTGAGTTGAGAGAAAATAAACATGCAGCAGGTTGGTAATAAATATGTAACCGTTTTTTTTCCTCAATGCCATTGTGCTCCGGAAAAAAGCCCTTGTATTGAGCTTCTGCCAGAAGTCCATCAGAGCTTAAGAAGTTAGATTGTGTAGATGTGGATCCAAATAAACTCATATAGAGAAGCTCAGTGGAGAAGCTCCTTTGGCCACGTTTGAACAAACGTGATGCCAAACGAGCCCTAAGATTTTCAGTTTCGCGACGGTTCATCAGCGATCAGCGACCATTATTGAAGGGTGGATCCCACAGTTCGTAAATGTATTGCCAGCGACTGTGTTGTTATGTACGGCCTTATGGGCCCTCTTTTGCTGCTCCGTCCAAGTGTTTGCCCCACGCGTGCCATGTGTTTCTGAATACCACAGCGCCTCCAATTTAATAAATAGAATGGGTTGCCGGTGCCACGCATTTTAATTTCGCGAAGAATTTTATTACGCAAGGAGTGATTGATAGTAGAAAGAGTTACAATTAAGTCCTTAAAAAGATTAAAAAATAAATTTCAGAAGTTGTTATTTTCTATTTTAAGACTTGTCATTAAAGAATATTCACCACTCTAGGACTTGTGATTCATATTGTTATTAGGATTTTTTAATAATTATTTTTTTCTGTAAGACTTAATTATAATTCTCTCTTGATAATATTTTAAAAAAAAAAGTAATACGTATTTCTTTATTAAAATCTCCCATCATGATTTCTACGGTTAAAGGGATTCACATGAATTATTTCTGGTTGGTTTATTCAACACGGAACATGCTACTTCCTCTGGCCCCGCTGTTAAGTATAAGTTTCATTTTATAATATAATTTATATCATAAAATAAGACTTGTATTTAGCATTTGAGGAGTAATATTTTGTTTCCACCTGTGTTGTTAAGAATTATCAATCATCAATATATATAATACCTCTCGTTCTAAATGCATATGATCTAATTTGCACTACGATTACCTAATTTCACAATATCACGTTATATCGACAGATAGTAAAAAATCTCCCATAACTTGCACTACTACTATTGGCAAACAATGAACAATCCAGCTTATTTTTTGAATCCTATGCAATGCACAAAGTCATGTTAGCAAAATATAAGTATCTTGCTGCCTTTCGGTATTCGGTACAATGTTCCCCTAGGATGAACTGATTTGTCCCCATAGCCATGGGTCTAATCACAATTTGGAGGAAGCAGCAGTGAGAGCATGAGAGACTAGTTCCCTTCTCAATATTTTGCCTGATGCAGACTTTGGAATGCTGTTCACAAATGATAGCCGCCTTATTTTCTTGTATGGTGCCACCTGCAACATCAGAGAATCAATTATTATACATAAGCCAGATCTACTCTGATATTTTTTTTCCCCATATATATATAAGCATTTAGCAGTAATTACCTGCTTTGCCACAAAATCCATGACCTCAGATGCACTAATATTGCTTCCAGACTTTCTTACCAGAAAGGCCATTGGTATCTGCCCAGCTTCTTCATCTGGGTAGCTGTCACAGTAACACCCAAGTTGCTAGTTAATTATATACTACTCCTCCAATCCTTAATATAGGACCCAATTTATGAGTTGGTTTTGGTCCTAAATATAAGACCCATTTATCATATTTATCAATTTTCTCTAAATTACCCCTATAGATACTCCCTTAACCATAATCAAGTAGAAGAAGGAGATGGGGTATTAAGAAAGATGATTATGGTGTTTTAGGAAAAACGTTTCATTTTTCTTATAATTAACTAACTTACCTAACTTCCTTAATCTAATCAAATTAGTTAAATGGGTCTTATATTAAGGACCGGAAGAGTACTTCTGATCCTAATTATAAGACCTTATTTATAATTTGCAAATGAGGTCTTATGATTAGGACCGAAAGTAGTATCTATGCTTCAACGAAAACAGACGCTACTGTGTACTTGAATCTTTACCATGATACTAAATACACAGATGAAAAAGGATTGTTTTAAAATATAGAACTAAAAGAATAAGGAACTGGAGGCGTACGTACGATGACAAATGGGAAGCAATGAAAAATTTGGGTTTGATGAGACTGAGACACTTACGGAATTACAGCAGCATCGGCAATTTCAGGGTTGGAGAGAAGTACAAGTTCCAACTCAGCTGGGGGAACCTGATTTTGTTTCATCAGTTCAGATTTTAATGAGCAACAAAAAGAAAAAGAAAAAAAAACGCCTGTATTCACGAAGAGCATAACATGATCACCTGGTATGCTTTGTATTTAATGAGTTCCTTTAACCTGTCGACAATAAAGAGGAAGCCGTCAGAGTCAAAGTAACAAAGATCGCCAGTCTTGAGCCATCCTTCTGAATCCAATGTCCCAGCCGTCGCCTCCTCATCTCCTACATAACCTGCAGTGATATTCCCCCACCAACCCATGAAGCTTTCAATCTCAGTCTTAACAGTTTCTGTCTTCTCAAACACTTCTTCTTCTTCTCACCTTTCATAATTGTAGGACTTCGCAGCCATAATTCTCCTTTCTTGCCAGGAGGCAATGCTTCTCCAGACACAGGATCCACTATTTTGGCTTCAAAATTCTTTTCCAGTCGACCCACTGAACCGTGACGCTTAGTCTCTTCAGGCCCTATCATTCTCGTTGCCAAACCTGAGCTCTCAGTCAAACCATAGCCCTGCGGTCAAAAAAATACGATAAACAGGCTGTAATGAAAAAGACTGCGGAATTAATATTTCATGCATGTAATAAACTCAATTGTGTTTGTACGTTGAGCACTTGGATCACAATTTTATACAGAAGTCAAAGTTACACAACTTATGAAGGTTGCTGAGTTTTGTGGGTGCCTTTTGAACAGTATAACAGTATTATGGAAAATTCAACCCACCTCGGCAATTTCTGCGTTAGGAAATTTGACTTTGAAGTTTTCTGCCACCTCCTTGCCAAGCGGAGCGCCGCCGCACCCCAGAATTCGAAGCGAGCTAAGGTCGTACTTGTTTACCAACTCCGACTTAGTCAGCGCTACCACAAGTGGCGGCGACACCGGCATGCTCGTAATTCTGTATCTCTCTACAACCTTCAGCATCCCTTCGAAATCGAACCTCTGCATCAAAACCATGGTGTCCCCCGTTGCCACGGACGAAAGCAGCATGAAAAACCCAAAAACGTGAAACAGAGGCAATGGGAACAAATACACGCGACGTTCTTCGTCATTCATATTCTGGCTTCTCGTGTGATAGAGGCCACTGATGACTGAAATAAAATTCCTGTGAGTCAGCAAAGCTCCCTTGACTCGGCCTGTGGTTCCCGAAGAGTAGAGAATCGCCGCCGTATCGGATTGACTCACCTCAACTCTGTCGGTTCCCCTGTTATTATCACTTCCAGGAAGTCCATTGATCATCATGGAAACGAACTGAGGGGAGTCAAGCAATACGGTGCCGTATTGAAGTTTGGGTATCTTGTGGACAGTAGAAGAGGTGGCGAATGCGATAACGGGTTGACTGAGTCGAACCTGGTGAGCCACCTCCGAGTCAGAGCAAAGCGGGTTAGAGGGTGAGACGATGACTCCCAGAGATAAGAGAGAGAAATAGAGAACGGGAATGTGGAGGGAGGAAGGGGAGAGAATGAAGGCGACGTGGCCTTTGGAAAGAGGTGTGAGGGAAGCGAGAGAGGCAGCGAGGTTTTTGACTTGGTGAAGGAAGAGGGAGTAGGACAGGTGGTGGCCGGTGACGGAGTCCACGAGGACGGTGGTGGATGAAGCGGCAGCAGGAAGGAGAGAGAATACGAAGTCGGTGATGGAGAGAGGCTGAGAGGGAGGAGGAACCGGGAAGTCAGGGCGGAGGCTATGGAATGTTCGGGTCGAAGGGCAGAAGCCGGAGTTTGGGTCGACGTCAGTGAGGTTAAGCTTCGCCATTGAAACGAAGATGGCGTTGACTGTGGAGATTTCAGACAGTGGATTCAGACAGATCAAAGAAGAGAACGTGAAATGCCGTGGCTCAATCTCCTCAAATAAAGACACACAAAAATTGAATGGCCATATAATACTAATGTAGCTAGAAATCACTTATTATTCATTAACATGAGAGTGATATTAATTAAATCATTCATTTTTCAATGCTGATATTCCTTAACTAGACATTTGTCTCCATGTGCAATGCGCCATACGTGTATTTAACTCCGGTAGCTTCTGAAACCGGAGAGGTGCTGAAACTCTGGTTCTCTCTTCTATGGACCTGGCTTTCTTCTCTCATAAACATCATCATAATTACGAGTTCTTCTTTCTAATTTTTATTTTTCTAAACCTTTAGAAAATATTGTTTGTGAAAAGATAAAGAGAGGCAATAATGCATGAACAATGTATTGAAGGTGAGGAATATTATTACAAAGATTCCCTTTAACAGATGTGGATCCCAATCTCAATGTATTGAAGGTGAGATTCACAGTACACTCAATAATGCATGAACAATTATTCAATAGGTACACATCTATGGAGAGAAATAAGGTTTTGCAGATATGCCAAAGTGGATAAGCTCAAGTCAATCCTTGCCTAATCTTCCAAGATTGATGAGCTGTTTTTTTAATTCGGCGTTTGGTCTTCTTGCCTTTTAGTTTTTACTGGTATACTTGGATTTCGCTTTTGCAAAATTAAAAAAATGCTTTTTAAAATACTGCTTTTATCTTATATCTGATCACTTTTTAAATCTAGTTTTTTTCACAACATTTTAAATTCAGTTTGCAAAATATAAAATACAAAGCTAGTTTTCTAAACTCAAATTAAAGTATATTTTACAAATTTTAAACTAAACGCACTACACTATTTTGGGTGTCTCAATCAAAACGCCGTCAGGTTTTTGTTCTTTTTGTTTGTCTCCAGGCTTACCTAGGCTGCTCTTCAGCAACGCAACGCATTGCTATTAATCTAAGTTTTAACTCAACATAAACTGAAAATATTGGACAATTGTTAATCAGAGATTGACCCGGCAAACCATTATATACAACTTTTTTTTAATGAGATTACGTTTCAGATTTGTCAGCTTATTGTCAAATTATATTATATTGGTCACGATTCGGGCAATAAGAATTATCGGCAGCAACGATGTCATAGTTTTAGTATTTTTCCATGGACATCATAAATCATGTTCTTTACTGTTTGCCTGCATATATTTGTCTGGATGAATTTATACATATATAGTATATTTAAAGCATTAAAAAAAAGATAATTCTTAAATCATATATACATATTTAGCTGATTTTTTTTGGGGTCAAAATACATATTCAGCAGCTTTCAGTTATTTTTTCATGAATCAGACAAAAGAGTGTGTCAAACTTTATAAATTTTGCCCGGTCAAAAAAAAAACTTCATAAATTTTGGGTTATTACTCCTTAATTAGCAATCGCTCTGAAGGATGAGGTCAAATGGATCAAGACTATCAGGGGTGTGTTGATTTAGAGGCTGTTTGGTAACGGGAAAATAGGGCACCGGTAAATAAAATGGGCAACGGAAGACACCTTCCCTCAAAAAATGAGAGGAAAGCTTTTGCCTACGTAGATGATATACCTATTTTACCCTCTCAATGATGGCTTCATCGTCTTCTCCGTTTTTTCCATCTCCGCGCGGCTTCATCATCCTCTCCCTCGGCTCTTGGCTTCATCCTACCAGAGAGCTAGGTGAGTAGTGGTTGATGGCAGGTCGCGATCTTCTCCGTCGACTTCTTCGACCGCTCACATCTTAGATCTGTTTCTTTCCATTGGCTCCGCCTCTCAGTCAAAAAGAAAGCATTCACACCATCATCTCCATTTTGGTGAACTCGAGCGATGAAGATTAACGATGCCAACTTTAGACGTCCCTAATAAGTCGTTGCCTTCGATGTCCCCAATGCCTCATCCCCCCGTGACGTTCTCTGGCTTCCCACTCACTGACCGTCTCTCGATTCCCTACCATGTATTGAAGTCTAGTTCGCTATGCCCTTTTCTTCTCCAATGTCTTCTTTCTCAGATCTCATGCGGCTCGGTTTTCTTTTTTTCTTTCTTTTCTTCTCCTTTCTTTCGGTTTTTTTTTTTTTAAATTAAAGCTTGCCTGCTTAGATTTGTGATGGCTGATTCTACGGGAGGGGAAAAGTTCCCCCCACCCCAAAAAAAAAAATTGTAATAGTGCAATAACAATAAATCCTTTAATAAATTCTAAAAACCCTCAAAATTCTGAAAATAATAATAAAATCCACAACGTATGACAAAAGTGAAAATTCATGCAGGGTATAGAACCAACATTTATCATGAATCACAAGTACATTGGGACTTTTCCCTCCCACTTTTTTGAAAAAAGAGCAACACTAAGACTCAACTGAATTTTATTTCGTTAAAGTAACTCATCACAATCAGTGAGTTTGACTAAGGCCGGCGTTTCTTGTGAAACAATGAGTTAAAGTTCAGAGTATGATATTAAAATCAAATTGGCAAACTTATTTATGAATGGCAAAAACAGATGCATCAGGAGGTGAAGCTATCTGAGTCTCATGAAGATAGCACCTTCTCCACTTCAGCCGTCACTTCTTTGGGAGGTTTCTCAGCTGCGAGGTTAGCAACAACTCTCTTCTTTGAATAATAATCAATAACCTACATTCCCAGCATCAAACTTTTCATAAGCACCCATTTACTATACAGAATTAAATGAAATGAAATTTAAAAACAAAATTAAAATGAAGATTGATTTTGATCATCACTTTTGTTTCCTGTTTTAACCTTTACTTGACTGAGGTCGAGATGAATTGAAAATCATACCGGTTCAGTTTGCTTGTGAAATGCCTCCAGTCTCGACTTGAGAACAGTTGCTGTATCATCCTTGCGCTGAATAAGAGGCTCACCAGTAACCTAAGCAAAACAAATTTGTCATCTTTATATCTACACTTTATATATAAAATATATAAATTGTAGTATTAATGAACATTGTGGCTCATGGTGGATTCCATGGAAAGCTCTCAGATTCACAATCGAGTTGTAATTTACAAGTTCTGAGCAAAGTTCACAAACATTAATAAGAATCATGGGGCAGTATCAATGTGGCCAGAAACCAAGTTGATTTAAAATTGAATAACAAAAATCAATCAACTGTCCGCATTTGCCTTAATATATTCAGAACTCATCCTACTCTGCTTGATTAAGCCTTTAGATCACTCTCTCATTCGTGTCCCTGTGACCATCACTCACATTTTGCCAACTAAAATTTCTAAACTTGTACAATAAAAGGTAAAAAAAATTAGAAAACATTCACAAAGAGGTAGACTTACATCATCAACCCCAGGAACCTTGGGAGGAGCAAATTTTGTATGGTAGGTTCTGCCACTGGATGGGTGTATCCAGCGACCAGTAATACGCTCCTCAAGGATAGCATCGTCAATTGCAAAATTCAGCACCTTATCAATTTTAACCCCCTTCTTCTCCAGCATCTCATCAAGCTGCACGCAGAAAAACATACAATGTTCATATTTTACATTCACAATGCAGAGGAACAGCGAGTATGAAAATGCAAATAATAAAGTTCATGACTGGTACTTCATGCAAACAAACGCATGCACAGCCCAACATCTCATGCAAAAGAAACTCAGACAGAAGCTCAAATGCCCACCAACAACCTAATACCTTCTCTGCTTGGACCACAGTTCTTGGAAATCCGTCAAGAATGAAACCTTTCTGACATGATGGTTTCTTTATTGCTTCATCTATAATGCCAACAACTAAGTCATCAGAAACAAGTTGTCCCTGGAAAGTAGTCCCACGATGTCATGTTCGCAATCTATCCTGATAAGATCACAAAAAGTGACACAGCAAATCCACGTTATAGAAAAGTCCTTACTGCATCCATAGCTTCTTTAGCCTTGATGCCCAGAGGGTTTTAGCAGCTACAGCGGCTCTTAACATGTCACCTGTAGCTAAGTGGCACAAGCAGTACTCATCTTTAATTATTGGTGACTGAGTGCCTTTTCCTGAACCAGGAGGACCTGCATTTACAGTTTTTAAGTTAATTCTAAGAAAGCACTACATTATATGATGCTCATACCTTGATATCTATACTAGATAAGCATATGCGCATGCAATATATATGTATATAAATACATATGCATGTATGAGCATATAGTGCGTGCACATGCAACCAAATATAAATTAAATAGGTATACAAATAATTGCCACTAGAAGTAGATCAAGATGTCCTTTTAGAAAGTAGACCTCTATTCTTGAGTCCATCAAAAATTTACAGGCAGCAAATTTATAATCAATGCCTAAACCTACAAGCACAAGCATATATTAAGTTTTCTGTGATTCTTTCGTACACCTAGCATCTGAGCTGCTGGTTAAACAGAGGAAGAAACAGTAATTTGAAGAAACGAAGAAGCTATCATCGAGGTGAACTTCTGACTTTTGAGAGGAAAGAGAGAAATATGATGGACACATATTATGGGATGCCTAGTCCCACATTAAGTAGCATAGGATGTTCTATAACGTACTTAAGCAGGTTGGCCCTTTAATAGCTAGCATTTAAGAAAAGCTTCCCCATCACAATTGAGCACCCATGAAAATAATAAGAAGGAAGAAGAAGCTCACACTGCCTGGGAGAATCAGTAACTCATAAAAAGTACAATCGCAAAACCCACAAAAGTTTCTCTAATGTCAAAGTAGATACACGAATTGGCCCAATGACAGACACCATGCACTACTGCCCATGGCAGGGCCAGAAAATATGGCAACGTCACAACTGTGGTGTTGCTAAATTATGCTTGGCATGAGGCAATGGACATCGCCATCCATAATAACGTGCCGTTAACAAAATATGGTTTGATCAAGGAAAATTATTGGAAAATACTAAACGAAAAACCAAATAGATATTCCCCATTTCTAACAGAAGAATCACACTACAATTTCTCATACTAATTGCTGCTACATATACTTGTCCAACTAAGATAACTAAAGAAAGCAACAAAATTTTCACCCAAAAATGGAAAGCAAGAAATGCAGTAATGCTTCATTGTTTCAAAATTTCATTATCGAAAGAGTGGCATAAAAAAAAGATAGAGGAGAA